CTGGTGTAGGGCATCCAAAGAAATGGCCAGCAAAGTCACCAAGACAATGCAAACATAGCAAATACAGCAGTTCTAGGTGTGAATGGTATTTGGTGCTCTGCAGTGCTAGAGATCTGGGGTTGAAACCTGGGAGACATAATTCTTATTTGGGGAAAAATGTTCTTCTCCTTAAGTAGTTACATTCCTGCCTCTCATAGAGTTCTTATACCAAGTCAGACCATTAGTAATCTGTCTAATTCAGGACAGTCTATATTGGCTGAGAACATCTTTCCCATTCTCACTCAAGGTACCAGAGACTGAATTTAGGACATTTTGGAAGTAATGCACATGCCCTAATGCTGAGCATAGCCAGAATTTAGACCTTTAATATTTTTAAAAAGTCACTTGCTAACATTCATTATGAGGAGGTATCATAAAGTTTTAATTATCACCTTTAAAAAAATTGACAGAAAGTTTGTTTTGATGTGTAGTTGTTAACTTATTTCTACATATTCACCATCCAGATTTACACATTTCCCCAGTGTTTCTTGACCCTCCAAATACTGTTATTGCAGAAGTCTTCAGATTGTGTCTTAATGAATGAATGATGTCATCTGTGTTGTCAAATTGGCAACTCTGCAATGGATTTTTCATTTTTAAGAAAAGATAAAGTCACTTGGTGATGATGACACTGACAACATTTCATCAATATACCATAATAAGGTCCAGGTGATAATTATGATACCCCCTCATACATCTCCTTCTTACATTTTAGTCATTTCTGGCATAACCTGTAACAAAAATAAAGGACACAATGAGCTGATTTTCTCAACATCATGCACTTAGGGACCAATGATGACACTGACAAAATTTCATCAATATATCACAATAACTTCCAGGTGATAATTATTACTTTACGATACCCCCTCATATTGCTGCTTTTAAAAACTGTTGAGTCAGACGGCTGCATTGGTTTACCAGGGGTAGGCAACCTTTTCCCTTTAAGGACTGAGGGACTTCAGCTCCCAGAATCTCAGGAGTTATTGGCCAACATGGGACTATTGGCCAACATGGCTGAGGCTTCTGGGAGCTGAAGTCCCTCGGCCCTTAAAGGGGAAAGGTTGCCTACCCCCGGTTTAAGCCTTGGACTATGACTCTAGAGACCAGGGTTCAAATCCCTGCTGCCATGGAAATCCATTGGGTGACCTTGACCAAGTCATACTCACTCAGCCTCAGAGGATGGTATAAGCAAACTTCCTCTGAACAAATCTTGCCAAGAAAACCCTGTGAAAGTTTTGTCTTAGGGTCACCATAAGTTGAAAATGACTTGAAGGCCCACAACAACAGTATAAAACAATTAATTGATACACATAACTTATTACTATTTAGAGAGATGTATTATTTACATTTTTATTGTTTACTATTATTACTTTCTATCTACTTTTTAAAAAATCATCATCATCATCATTCACTTTTTAAAAATGGTTTAAAATGGTCTTCATTCTACCACCACCACCCTCAAAAAATACTACACCAGCATTTTAGAAGAGTGAATACTCATTATACTTTAAAGAGTAGCATGACACAATGGCTAGATTTCCCATTACGCCAACATATATCATTTTGTGGTTGTGTGGAAGGAAGGATCCAGTAACTGTAAGGAGGGACACTTTTAGACTCTTCTACTGCCTCTAGCAAAACTACAAAACACAGGAATCCATAGGATGCAGATGGGACAGTTAGAGTGGAATCATAGCACTATATAGTCAGCCCTCCATATCCACAGATTCTTTATCTTTGGATTCAACCATCCACAGCTTGAATGTGTATGTGTGTGTTTGATTTTGCCATTTTATGTATTTGTCATTGTTGTGTGCCTTCACATTGTTTCTGACTTATGGCAACCCTAAGGTTACCCTTCTTGGAAGGTTTCTTCAGAGGGGGTTTTCCATTGCCATCCTCAGAGGCTGAGAGAGAGTGACTTGCCCAGGGTCATCCAGTGGGTTTCATGGCCAAGGCAGGAATCAAATCCTGGCCTCCAGAGTTGTAGTCCAACAATCAAACCACTATGCCACACTGGCTCTCTCATTTTATATAAGAGACACCATTTGACTATGCCATTGTATATAATGGGACTTGAGCATCCACAAATTTTGGTATGCACCAGGGATCCTGGAACCAAACTCTAATGGATACTGTAATGGTATAGTGTGAATGGGCCCAAGGAGAATGGGTCCAAGATCATAGAGCTCACATTGGAAGTGACAAATTTCTTGCCTAGAAAGTCAGTAAAGAATAAGCAAAGCCTATGTGGAGGCAGGGGAAAACAACTCCTAAGTTAATCAGGCATTGTGCACAAAAGTCTTCTAAAGAGGCAGCTGACTAATTCCATAATTCTTGGGTGTTGCAACAAGAGAAAATAGGCCTTAGAAGGAGCAACACCGCCATATAAGCAGCTGCCAATCCACCATCAGTTCCCTGGTCTGGCCGCATCTGTGGGATCCCATCTTCCTTTCTCTAAGGAGATTATTGCACTTGCTTTTTGGCCTATCCAGGCACGGGCTAGGATGGAGCTTGAACAGGGGGAAACGGGTGTTATCACACACAAAAATGCCAATGATGCCACCAGCTGACCACCACCCATCTCCATGCCACACTTAGCCAGCCGATTTTAAACTGTGCAGTCGGGCATGCAGAGTGATGGTGGTGTCGGGGCGGCATTGAGGCAGCCAGCATGCAGTCACCCCACCCTAACTCCACCCAGCCCTTTATCACATAAGGGTTGAAAACTGGAATTAGAGCAAGATTAGAGCAAGTCTGCATCAGCCCTTTATCACATAAGGGTTGAAAACTGGAATTAGAGCAAGCTCTGTCCATTAGCTATTTTATAGTCCATCCATTGCTGGAGTTCTCTTTCTCGTTGATGAAGCAAAACCTGTCACCTCCCAACTTCACTGCTTTTCCACTTTTATTTATGTGTGATAAGTTCCTCCTGCTACAGTTCCAATATTCAGTCAATGAGGGCCTCGGCAGACGGCTTAATTGAGCCGTCTCCGAGGCCAGGAAGAGGAGGGGCCACCACACGCGCGGCGGCCCTTCCTCTTCCTGAGGTCGCCCTGAACGCTTCCGGGCCACCGGACGTCTGGCGCGTTCAGGGCGACCTCCTCCCGCAGCGTCCGGCCGTGCTACGGGGGATAAGTCAGAGAAAGGGCGCCCGCCGCTTTTAGGGCGCCCTTTCTCTGACTTATGAAAGGAGTGCCTTTTTGGCGCTCCTTTCAGGGTCGCTCTAGGAGCGCCGCGGTGGGGCTGCCATAGCCCCGCGGCGCTCCGGACCAGGGCGTCCCAAACGCCCTGGTCTGCAGAGGGGGTCACATAGTATGAATGGGTGTGATTCTGCTCCTCTCCCCTACCCTTGCTATTTCCAAGCAAGCTGTTTTTCTTTTTTAAAATTTCTTTTCTTTCTTTACTTTTTTACTTAATGGATTGCAGTGATTATGAAATTGCACTAAAAATAAATATAGAATGAAAGGCATGTTGGGAAGGGGTTAGGGCAGGAAGGCAGGGTTATGGAGGCCAGTGTGTGGAATACTGAAGCCAAGACAGAAGCAGCCATCACACTTTTGAAGAATTGTGCAATAATTACCCTCCCTAACCCAGTCTGTTTCTGTTCTGTTCTGTTTCCGACATAAATGCTATTGGGTCACCTTACAAGCCTGGTGGGATAAAGTGCTCAGAACTCTCTGCAGATGCTTCCTGCAATGTGTCCAGATACAGGGTGTTGGGGGGGTGGTTGGATGCTTGTCTGCTGCTTCCCTGCTCTCATCAGTAAGGAAATGGTCAGGTTTAGGAAAGGGCTGTATTCGCACTGCAGAAATAATCCAGGTTGATACCATTTTAACTGCCATGGCTCAGTGCTATGGAATTCTGAGAATTGCAGTTTCTTGTGGCACCAGAGAAGGCTAAATGTCTCACAAAACTACAGTTCCCAGAATTCCATAGCATTAAACCATGGCAGTTAAAGTGGTGTCAACCTGGATTAGTTCTACAGTGCAGATGCAGCCTTAAAAAAGGTGAGGGTGGATGGGGGAACTCTTATAAGTACATCTTTGATGGAGGATCATGGCCAGTCTGTTTTGATCAAGTTTAATTTCCCTTCTTGTTGGTTGTCTTGCCCAGGTAAAAACAGCAGTGGTCTGCACCTAGTTCCATCAAACTTCTCACTCCTGGCACCTGTGGAATTATTACAGGAGACACAGCAGTACTATCAGCAACTGTTAACATAGCTGGTATTTAACAGTATGTTCATGCTATTATGTTCAAAGACATCACAGTAGACAATAACTAAGCAGAGTAGGTTTCTTTTAATTCTCTCTTCTGAATTTCCTTCTTCATTTTCCTCTCCAAACAGCGCAACTCTCTTGAGATCCTATCGCTTAATTAATTGAACCAAATTGTCAGGCTATGAATCCAGAAAGCCACAATGGAGTTTTGTTGGAAGAAAAAAGAAAAGAAAAGAAAAGAAAATGCCCAGTTATGTCATTGGGTTTTAAAATCAACCTGATTTAGCTTCAGTTGTTCACTATAGTAGCTGGAAGTTTTCTACGCATACGGTATTTTTTTTTAACAAGGAGGATGAAGATAAGGGGATATTTGTCAACAATAAGCAGCTAATTCCAGCAGGAAGCAAAGCTCAGAATTGATTAAAATGTGAGTGTAAGATAGAACTTTATCAATGAATTGCAGGGGCTTCTGCTTTAACCGAAAGCTAGAAGTGATTAGCTGTAAATACCACTAACAGCTAAAACAAGCGGGTGGTGATTTAAAAGGGAATAAGTGAACCTCTTATATTGAAATGCCTATAATAATACTGAATGGTTTGGCTTAAGAAAGAAGGCCCTCCTTTTGGTATAGATGTGCATCTCATGTCAGGGATTTTCACATTAGTGTATTGAGTGTTGTTTCTCTCTGATCTGTTGCTGCTAAAGGAACTGATAATGCACCAATATCCCTATTCATGAATGATGAGCTCTCTTCTCCTTGGACTGAAACAAGATTTTTTCCTTTAGTACCCAACTTCACATCAGAAAGCTTTATTTGCAGGGAAAGAATGAATCATCTGAAAACTAAGGGCCAAAACAGACTCGCCTGAAGAGTCAGCTTCCCAGTGACTTGGGGGCATGGCATATGCATGACACATGCCTCCCAGGATGCTTGGAAGATGTCATCAAGCCACTGGAGCAACCACACAGTGGCAGCTTTTCGGATCTCTAGTGGCACAGTGTTTACACACTGCATGCCGCCAGAGCTCAAAAAACCACCATTGCTGTGGCAAAAATGCACTTTCCCCAGGGCAAAAAAGAATGACTTTCTGCTGCTTCTTTTTGACTTGTCATTGCCATGGCCCCAACCTGGTGCTCCAAGGGGCAGGGTCAAGCCACTCCTTCAGGGCAGTCTGCTTTGCCCCACAGTTTCTTTGATTGTCTTATTTGTGTTCTAAAACAGCTCAGGAAAGCCAGGGAACAATAGATTTCCCTTCTGACCACATCTTATTTTGCAAAATAAGGTGGTTTAGCAGTCTAGGCCACAAGTCCAAAGAGCAAAATATGAGGAGAAAGGGATATATCTTTGTTCCCCAGAGGGAAGAGGGTAAGAGAGTAAATTAAATAGGAGAGCTCATTGCTTTGATTGCAGAAGTTCAATCTACAGCATCTCCAGGTAGTCCTTCCCATGAAGCAAACTGCTGTAGCCTCTCCTAGCTTGTGTGCTCTTCTGTAGCAGATTGCCTGAACAAACAGAAACTTGAAACCCAAGGTAGGATGAAAAAGAATAGACTTTATTGAAAAACAGCTGTGAGGCTTAACGGATTCCTCTCTCAAAGAATCAAGCCTCCTGAAGAACGGCTTAACTCTTTCTTTTATACCCAGGTGTAAACAAGGTTTTTTTACATCACAAATGGTTACTTACCAATTCCTACAGAACTTTGGGGCCAAGCAAGGAGAAGGAAGGAGAGGGGCAGTCACATGCTGGGTGACCCAACCCCTTCCCAAAGACGTCATTGGAGCAGCCAGCCCTCCACATAGCCAGCGCTCCGAGGATGCCTTTCTGCTGCAGCGTCCGCACACGCTGCAGCGGAAGAGGCACCAAATGTGCACCGGTAGCCTTTTTCGGCGCACCTTCAGCGATTTGTGGAAGGAGCGCTATTTTAGCGCTCCTTCCTGGGGCGGCGAAGCTGTGCCGCAGGGCCAAGGAATGCACATGCTTCGGCCCCGATCCGCAGCTTCCTGGGGTTGCCCTGTGCTGCCTGTCTGCTTTGCCCCTTTGTGATCTGTCTGTTTATCAAACTTTGGCCGTTCCCTCTTTATCTAACTTGTACAAACAACAGGAACATCACTATCTATTGAAACAAGGAAGCTATGCAAGTTCTGTAAACACATAGGCAATTGTCAGCATTATAACAGAGGTCTTTAGCAAAGTCAAAAGCACATTTCTAGCAGTTATAATTAGCATATATTGAATATTATAGCACTATATTTATAATACCTTTCAATATCTCCTATCATCCACCTCACTTCCTCATTAACAACTTTTTGCCAACTTGATCACACACTGATGTTGCTTGGCCACGTGTCTCAATTTTCATTCGGAAGATATTAAGTAGGTCTCAGAAAGAAGTACAGAGGCACACTGGCTGATGTAGAAAATCTTAAGTTCAATGAAGTAATGGAATGACTTAGTATAAATCAGTTACCTCCGTAATTTACCACACTAGAATATTGGTGGGTTGTTCCTGAATATTAGCTGTATGTTCCTCATTCTAACACTTTGCTACAAAAGTGGGGTATACATGAGAGAGGTCACTCAGGGCCTCGGCAGACGGCTAATAGAGCCGTCTTGGAGGCAGGGAAGGGGAGGGGCAGCCACACGCTCGGTGCCCCTTCTTCCTCCCAAGATCGTCCTTGGAGCCGCCGGCCCTCCGCACGGCCGGCACTCCGAGGACAACCTCCCGCCGCAGCGTCCGGACACGCTGCAATGGAAAAGTGAGTGAAAGTGCACCGCAAGCTTTCGCTAACTTGTGAAAGGA